ATATGAAATGGTTTTGATTTTAGGCTATTTGCTAAGCGTGGAATAAATATTGAATAGGTGTTAGGAAATAAATATACAGTTAACACCCTCAAGCAGTTGGTCACTGCACGGAATATACACAATTTATTACTTGTTGGTTGTTAAGTTATGCATCATATGGTTTTACTATTTTTTGGTTAATTCCATCATGAGAAATATCATCCCACACGCTTGATCTTAATATCCAATGTGGGCACTTAAAACTTGCTCTCTCAGTTAATGTTATGCTTGCAGGCTTTAACGGGATATCTGAGAGGGATTTAATTCATCCGTAAATCTAAACAAGATGGAGATCAATGTTTTGATCCCGTTATTCAAAACACATTTTGCCGTGTGGCCACATTTTTCTTTTAAATTTAAGATGCACAATTGAAATTCAAGGCGCTTCATGTCCCCAGTTAAAAAACATGGTCTTTTTTTCTGTTAAGTTATTAATTAATTATTACTGATAAAATTTTATTAGTTTCTTTTTAAAATCGAATTTTTTTATATTCTATTTTTTTAATTCCACAGGCAACACCGGTTATTTAGCTGTGGTGTTTCTAGAAAACTACGCTTGAATTTTCAAATCTATTGTTGAAAAGGTTTTTTAAACTCATTAAAAAGAACAAAATTAACATTTCCTTATTTTAGGGAAGACAAGAACCTGACCGGAACTGCGCGCTACGCCTCCATCAACGCGCATCTTGGGATTGAGCAGAGTAGACGCGATGATATGGAGAGTTTGGGATACGTTCTCATGTACTTCAACAGAGGTTCCCTACCCTGGCAGGGGCTCAAGGCAGCCACCAAGAAGCAGAAGTATGAAAAGATTAGTGAGAAGAAGATGTCAACTCCAGTCGAGGTTCTCTGCAAGGTAATCAATAATTTTCATAGTTATTACGTTTTTTGTAGAGATTGACCGGAGATAAATAAATTTATAGCATTTTTTTTGACCAGGGCTGCATATTTTCTAAGAAATCGTTCTTCAACCCCCCTCCCCCCTCCCCAGTTATCTGATACATATAGGGTGTCCCAATAAACATGGGAATTCAGTGACGAATTCGATATCATCTTTTTAAATAATTCTTTGATTTAGTAAGTGATACCTACTGAGAAAGCTGCAATCTGTAAAAGTTTCGTCTGCTATGTTCACATTTTGTTTACGTTTTGACTCCATACGGTTGTACTTAGTTAAACAAGAAAATTGCAGAATACAAACAAGAGTAAACTTGTCCATCTTTACTGTTTATCTTGCGAAGACATTATAGACACATCTTTGCAGTCTTTTACCCTTTTCATAAAATAAACTCTAGCAAACATAATAATATAATGGCTTTTGAAATTAGGTATTACAATGCTAATTCATAACACAGACAATATCGAATTCGTCATTGAATTCCCATGTTTTTTGGGACACCCTGTAGGATATTTTTAAAAAAAGGTTGAAAATGTCTTTCTAGTTTATCCAATTCAGATAATTTATTTATCAGCTTTGGATTCTTTAAATTAGAATTTTATCGAGTTTTTGCTTTTTCTAATAGTGTATTTTGAATTTTCGAAATTTTCAACAATTTGCCAATTTTTTCAGTATATTTATATACTTATTTACAAATCTTAATTTAACAGAAAGGTATGGATAAATGTACGGTTGATGGTTTAATTTCTTATATTTCTTGAATCATATGCGTGACTTTAATTAAGCTGTGGCTGTGAACCGTTATAAGAACTGTAAATAAAGATGCAAGGTGTTGTATTTCATGTGTTAACAAAGTATTTTTATCTATCTCGGGGGGGGGGGGGG